AAAACTTGCATGGTTTTATAAGTTGAAAAGTTCCCTACTTCTATTGGAGCGAGCTTAGAATTGAGAGTGACTTGAGGGCTTTTTGGACGCTTTCAATGACACACTCACAAGTGCAACAATGGCAAGAGCATATTCTCATTTATTTTAGTATTAGAATTTTCATATTGTAAGTGTTTAACACATGAAGATAGAGAGAGCATTTCAATAGTAGAAAAAGCAGTAAAAAGAAAATTTATCAAAATACTCATAAAAGATCAACTATTTAACATTCTACTCATTTGTAACTATTCTAACTCATGATCATGTGGTTTTTTTTTTTTACAGGTACTTTAAAATTCAATCAAGAGATATGGATAAGGCGTTAAATTGTTTTCTGTCATCCCCTTCCCTCCAACAAGCAAGTAAGAAACAGACAGTGAGAGCATCTCGTGATTTATACTTTGGAATTCACAAATCATGAGCATTTAATAACTCAAAGATAGTAAGAGCATACTTGTAGGCGTGAATTTTCAAGCCATTTATATGGAAAAAGGGATTGTCTACAAAGTGACCATTTATCTTTTGTTTATAGAGGTCATAATCATTCTTGTCCTGTACATTTTAAAATAAATAGTTGTAAGAGTGTCATTAAATTGTTACAAAGTTTCAAAAACAATTCACGAATCTTGTGACTTATCCCAAACCATCCAATTTAATATCTAATGACAGGAGAATGATTGTGACATTTATGTACAAAAAATAAATGATCTATTTGTAAACATTCCCATATATAATAAATAGTCATTTTAATACTTCAAAGATAATGAGAGCGATCTCGTGCCAGTGATTTTGCTGTTGAATCAAATGGACGTTTCAGTTGTAATTCTTCAAAAGTTTGTATTGAGCCCATTGATCACTCTTTCAGCAATGTCAAAGCATTGCACTCGATTCTTAACCAAGGGTTTAGCTTTGATCACAAGTAAAAGGAGTTTCCCCCTACTTTAGGCAAATATCTCTAAAAATTTACCTTATCAATATTAAAAAGGCAAAGTTTATATATGTGCGAGGCTCTAACAACACTTCAAAAATTTCACTAGAAGAGGTTGTTTCGATACCCTAAAATCCTTAAATTGATCATCTCAACCGCAAGATGCATGGACATGAGAAAAAATGGATCTCAAGTTTCGGAAATAGTGCATCCTGTAATGTATTTTTGGATCGTCAATTTTTAAAAAAATTTAATGTTCATAAATACGCTCGATCTACACTAGTTTTGAAGCTTTAAATTTTATAATTAGATACAAAAATAGATTATAGAGCCATCATAAAAATTTACAATATTGAAATAACATCTTTTGATACTACTTGAAAGTACACCTTATTTTGATTGTTTAGAACCTCGGCCTTACATAAACTACACCCATATTAAAAAGCCACCATTATAATCTCTCTCTCTATCTCTATCTCTATCTCTATCTCTCTCTCTCTCTTACATATAATGCATACAAAAAAGTCTATATAAGATGGCAGTGTTATACTGTAGAAGTAGGGTGCATCTTGAAAATCCACCTAAAAAGCTTTCCGGTGTCAAAGACCCCTGCAATTATCACCTTGCCCTCGAGATGCTAGATATAAAAAAAAAAAATTCAAATCCTAAAAATAACACATATTGTAACACATTATCTAGACAATCTATTTTTAAAAAAATTTAATATTTATAGATGCTCAATCTGCATAGAGGTTTAAATTTCATAACTAGGTGTGAAATTCGATTTTTAAGCCGCCTTAGCAAGATTTAAATGTGCACCTTACTTTAATTGATTAAAGTTGGGACTTTCTACATGATGGTAGTTTACGTTATGTTCCCAGTTGTCAGATCTTGTTCTGCACCGGTTTTGAAATTTTAAATTTATAATTAGTATTAAATATAGATTTTATCATAAGATTTTCAACACTACAATTACATTTTTTACCAAAATAAAAAAATGCGCTTTATGCATAATAAGGTGGGCACCTTACACAAACCTCGTAGTTCATATGTGTGTGAGACATCGCCATCATCTAGGGCTTGTGCTTGCTATTTAGTTATTATTTGGAAAGCGATGGGGGATCGATAATTTTTAATTTGCAGGCCAAAATTAATTATTAAGCCTAATAATCAAGGATACGCCCCCCTTAAAATTAGAATACTAAATTAAAAAAAAAATAGAAATAAAAAAATTGCATGGCAACGTTATCTACCACCCTATGATGTAATCCTTAGATCATTGTCCTCAATTTAAAATTACATAAAAATGACGAAAACGCCCCAGGCATCTCTATGACCCCACCAATCGCTTTTCCTACACTATTTAGGGAAAAAAAAGAAAAGAAAGGTGAAATAAAAAGAAAAAAAAAAGAGAGAAAAAAAAATATTATTTAATATGTCCTGGCACTTGGTGTGGGGTGTGAAGGTCTTTTCTAAGATGGAAGGGTAGTGTCAGGGTTTTGTAGGTACTAAATTTTTTTTTTTTTTTTTGTGAAAAATAAGTATCATCCAGGTAGATCGGCCTCCTTTTTCAGCAATCGGCAATCCAGATCTGAATTAGTGGTCCAATGAAAAATTAGGAAATTTTTTTAAAAAAACTAATATATTGATTTCAATTGGGGAACCTAAATCATCGATCCACATAACTTAATCCAGGTCGACATTTTTCCAAACACTCGAAATAACCAAATTACCCTACATGAGATAAACATAGTCCATAATTATTGGAAGATCATCTGGGAAGGATACCATGACCCATATGATCATGGTAATAATTTGGTAAAGGGACCATTTCAACTCACTCGCAGTTTGGACGGTGATGGAACAAGAGTAGGTCTCCTTAAATATGTCACTAACTAGTACATGTCTCTTTCCATCACCATCCAATCCATCGGTTTGATAGTGATAACACCAGTGACCATATGCTATTGCTATGACATTATTGATAATGGCATACTTTTTCTTTTCTTTTCTTTTCTTTTTTTTTTCGTTCTTTTTTTTTGAGTAGGTGACCCTTTTTATCCCCCCCAAAAAAAAAAAAATTCATTATGGTATAAGCTGAATGGTTAAGGTAAAAAAAAAAAAGGATAACCTAAGCTATCGAGAACGACACATCTTTTACATAGCATTTTTCGCATATTCATTATTTTGATTCTTTTAAAACATCCAGATGAGACATACATGTATACAAAGCTTAGAATCTATTTAAACCCTACTTTTTTAAAAAAAAAATAAATCTATTACTCAATAGTTGATACCAACCATTGTTATCTAGATCCTTTAACTTAGGTCAATGCACTTATATACTATTCCTTACAAAATCATTCTCCATTATCTCATACTACATTCTGTACTATAGGAGCATCCAATGTTGATATTTATTACTGACGGTTCAGATTATACCATACCCAAGGAAACATCCCTCGTTTAAGCTCCGCGGTCCATCATCGATCGAGGATTCAACCCTCGTCTACCATGTATCACACTGCTATTAGCACACTTCTCTTATTATGGATATGCCATATTATTCTTAATGACTGAAATGACCTTAAGTAATATAAAATACACAGGATTATTCTCCATGTGGACCTAGGTCAAGTTGTATCCAAACTGTAAATTTGATTATTAATCAATTTAATGCAATTTTGAGTTAAGATCAATGTTATTATATCATCGTCTCTTCGGTCGAAACGTTGAAACAATTGCAATCTTTGGCTTCAGGCACTAGACCAAGGCCATGATAATCAGTTTCAGATCAAAATGAAAATGTTGATAAAACATTAAAAATTATCCTTAATATATTAGACTAACAAAGTTCATATAAAGTATCAATTTTATATTGTAGAAATAAGGCACACCACAAAAAAAATAAAATAATAAAAAATAAAAATAAATAAAAATAAAAAAAGTTATTTTGATGCTAAAAATCCCTCGAATTGATCATCTCGATCTCGAGATGAAAGAAAATGACATTAAAACTTAAAAATAGTGCATATTAGAAGCATTATTCGGACCATCCATTTTCAAGATTTTTACGTATTGATAGATCTACTTAATCTATGTCGTTTATAAAACTTAAATTTTAAAATTAAACGTGAAAATAGATTTTAAAGCCATCACAACAGTTTTCGAGACCAAAACTATTATAGTTTCACGGTGTTCCTAACTTTGATTTGTTAAAGGTCGGCACTTATACAAAGCCACACCTTATCTGAAAGTGTATAAAAAACAGTCATAAAATGCACAAAATCTAACAACAGGATAAGATATACTTGTACATAACATATTTTACAAAAAAGAATATTATTTTTATTTCAAAAGACACTTAAAACTTCGAATTCTTAAAACCTAAGTGCTTCCCTTTTAGGCCAAAACAAAGATTTCCCAAGACCATTATTATTTTTTTGGTAAAAATTTATGAAATAACCTAGGACAGCCGAATAATTTAACACCTCACCCAACCATATCATTATCAACATAGTTTTTTTTCAATTAATTGGGATCCGTTACAAAAATCCTAATCTATCATTCAGTTCTATTGAAGACCTTCAGTAAGGTTATAAGTAGCAATATTTTTTTTCACTACTTCTAATCATGTTTTTTTAGGCCTATCACTTACTCTTTTTTAGCCTTCCACTTGAATGAATTCGCACCTCCTAACACCTTATACATATTTTTTTAAAAATACCCGCATATAATCTTGAGTTAAAATACTTGGACATGTACATCTCTTATGAATATTTTTTAGTACTTTTTTTTTTTTACCATATTTTATGTCCACAAGGCCAATTTAAAGAAAGACAAGGGCCATTTTGGTCATGAAGAAGAACAGAAAAGCCCAAGGAAAGAGACAAAAATCCCTTAGTACAGAACCCCTCGTCCAACGTCAATAAACTTTTAATATTTTGAAATATTTTGCATGGGAATTTGATAAAAGAAAATATCATTTCACAAATAAAAGAGTAAAGAAATGAAAATATAAATAAATGATACAGCAATGGTCCCAGCTCTGGTTGAAGAGGAAACACAGGAGAACTTCCCCACTTCACCATGCATGTTCAAACAAGACTTTTCTCTCTCTAGAAGAGCAAAATATAGCCTACAACTTTCTCTCTCATCTCAATTTTCAGAACCTCCATAGCTATGGAGGGAAACTCTATAGCTACCTCTTTGTTCCATGCATGAGAGAGCACTCCAGTTAAGACTTCAAAGAAAAAAGTGCCTCTCTCTCTCTCTCTATAGAAGGAAAGAATGTCAAACATCACAGGTGAAGGGAGTTTCTCTTCTGGAGAAGAGATTAACACAGTGCATGAGCAACAGAGTGTTCACAACGTATCGATGACACCTGTTTACGATCAGAGTAACAGTAATGGCTCTGGTTCACAGCCTGTGGTCACAACGAAGAAGAAACGAAACCTACCAGGAACTCCAGGTTAGTTTTCCACAGATAATTTGACTATTTTTTCAAATCTGTAGCTAATATTGTTTCTCAATTTTGTGGCAGAATCTGAATCTGTTGAAACAGAGGGATTTTGGGTCTTTGATTTGCTTTTGTTTGAATTTGGTTTGTTCAATTGGGTTGCTTGAATTTGCTCATGAGAATCAATGGGGTATTTCTTTTTTTGCTTTTTCCTCTTTTTGGTTTAAAGTGTGAGATTTTATGTTCAGTTTCCCACCGTTAAAAATCTTATGCACAGTCTATAAACATTGAATCTGTAAACTGTTGGGCTTTTTTTGGATGGGTTGATGGTGCTCGGTTGTGTTTGTAGAGACAAATTGTTGGTTGATAACAATAATTGCTCTCTCTCTCTCTCTCTCTCTCTCTCTCTCTCTCTCTCTCTCTCT